TAGCGAGGTGGGTGGCGGTCTCTTCTCCCAAGTAACTGGCGATAGGACAAGAGGAAATGGCCTCAAGTTGCCCAGGGGAGGTTTAGATCGGATATCAGGAAAAACTTCTTTACTGAAAGAGTGGTTAAACATTGGCACAGGCTGCCCAGGGAAGTGGTTGAGTCACCCTCCCTGGAGGTATTTAAAAGACATGTAGATGAGGCACTTAGGGACATGGTTTAGTGGGCATGGTGGTGTTGGGTCGATGGTTGGACGTGATGATCTTAGAGGTCTTTTCCAACCTTAATGATTCTATGATTCTATGTGTGGGTGTGCACGCACATGCATGCATCCCTGGGACACACGCGTAGCCTTGCTACTGATTCAACCTGCAGATGGGAAAGCAGCAGCTGTGTCCATCAGCCTGGGACAAAGACCCCCAGGTCTCCAGGCACATTGGGCTGGGCTCCAGTGGCCAGGCAGGCGGAACCCCTGGGCCCGCAGAGCTGCTGGCAGCAGAGGCTGCTCATAACACCCCTTGGCGGTTACCTCTTATTTTTCTTGAATTCTCAAGAAAAGAAGGTTCATACAATTGTTCACCTTTCTGTCTGTCCACTCAAGTTTCCCTGACTTATGTATAGTAGGCATCACCAACCAAATTTCACAGAGAGGCTGAGATTTCACGAGTTACTGATTACTGCTAAAGTTGCCATAACTGGGTAGGAAACAAACCAAAATTAGTGCTCCTAATGAGGAACAGGTCATACTGGGAGCCCAACTGTTCTTTTTTCCTCTGTCACAGCAGCACATCAGCATATGCCATCACTAATATGTAGCTTGCATCATAGTAATTGTGGTCTATGGTCAAGCCTATAGTTATTGTGGGGGGACTAAAGAGGGAGAGAAGACGTGACAAACTGTATAGGTGAGTTACTGGGATAAAGTCAGTGTTTCAGTAGTTCCATTCTCTGTGGAACAGCATGCTGAAATATATATATCTTTTTTTTCCCAGTAAATAACTCTTAAGTAAAGGTATTAATAAGAGTTGTTGGGAGACAACATCAGAGCAAAGAATCCAACCACACATCTGACTGGCTCCAAATCTGTTAATAAAGTAAAATTTAGTATCTCCCAGAAACTTCTGTAAAAGAAACAAATACAGTCTTGATCTTGCCACCTTTAGGCTGCTCATCTTCCAATATAGTCCAGAGTATCACAGATCAAAAGCCTTTACAGTTTTGGCAATGCCTGTCTAACTTTCAGGAGGCAAACATCCACCGCTCAAACACATAGTCAATCTGCATTAACCGGCACCCTCGTTTCCAGTCTCAGCAAAAAAGGGTGAAGGGCAATTAAGAGCTACCGACAGATCTACCCACTCACCCTTTAGAGTCTGATTTCCCAGGTCTGTTCTGTAGAGAAACAAAAAGCTTCCAAGGGGCCACACTAGTAGCCTAGGTGATCTCTCATAGGCAAAAAAATGTCCAGACTTGAAAGAAAAATTGAGGCAGGAGGGCATTCTTTGCCAGAAAACATGTTACATACGCACTGGCCGCTTCAAAAAAACATGCTGTGCACTCAGGAAGCCCGAGGTTCCTGACTTCAGGTTGAGTGGATGGGTGGAGGCTTCCTGAATCTTAAGATTTGCTAAAGTTTCCTTTCCATTTTGTTTTCGTATCCTTCTAACAAAGAAAAACCATCATTCAAGCTCAGCTTGCTTTTGCTACTGACCTTGTGACAGTTGGCTGGTCTCATGAGCTGGTCTACATTAGTCGATACAGAGACAGCTCAGCTGAAGTATTCTCAGCTGAACAAGTCACCTCCGTATTGAATGAGCTGCCACTTTCTCGCATGCCACATTTTTTCATTTCAGAAAAAGATAGCATTGATGCCCTCCCACTAATCTTATTCGGAGAAAGGGAATGGAATGGAAGAAAGGGAGCGCACACAGAAGAGAGAGACCACATAGTAAAACCCTCCTCAGTTATAGTTCCCCTCTCCCGCTTTTCCCCATACTAATAGAGTCAGCGAGAGATATTTTCCAGAACAGGTCTACTTGACTTGCATTAAGGTAGGCCTACAGGACGCTGTGCGTCAGCACAGGCTCTGCCAGGCCTGGAAGAACCTTCTGGGATCTTGGAGAGGTCTGGACAATGTTTAATTTGGATTTACATCTGGTCTGGAGGCTATAATTTGGTTATAGAATCATAGAATATCTCAGGTTGGAAGTGACCCATAAGGGTCATGGAGTCCAACTCCCTGCTCCTCACAGGACTACCTAAAACTAAACCATATGACTAGGAGTGTCATCCGGACACTCCTTGAACTCGACAGGCTTGGTGCCGTGACCACTTCCCTGGGGAGCCTGTTCCAGTGACCGGCCACCCTCCTCTACAGTAACAGGAGTTGGAGGAGAAAAGAAAAATGCATTTCAGATCAGCTGCATTCATATGAATAGCTACATCTATCAGCCCCTGCCATTCCCTTAGTGCTGCTACACAAAAAGAACTCGGCATGGCATTTGAGCTATGTTAAACTGATCTCACTCTATCATACAAATAACAAAAGAACAAAATGCAAGCCATATATCATATAAAAAGATAGAACCTAATCAAGCCTTAATATTACCTGAAGAGCTTCTCTCTCCTCTTGCCTGTCCTGAGCTCTAAATATATTAAGTTTTTCTTCCCCCAAAGTGATGAGAATACTTGACAGGAGCCCAGCTGACAGCTTTAGAGACCTCCAACGTATTTGATTATTACCTCAAACAAGCCTAAAGCTCAGCAAACAGTTCTTTCAATTCCCAAATTCCCATCTCTCTCCATTCCAACCAAATGCAAAAAACAAACAAACAAACCTACATAACCCACAAACCTCACATACACACTACTAGGATCCCTTTCTCACCTACCCAGCAAACATCAGGTTTTCCTCCTGACCTCCTTAACTTCTCTAGCACATTATTGGAAGTAATTTGCCATTTTACATATGATACATACACATATAAATATGTAAATAGCCATTATAGTTACTGACAATTAAAAATAGCCATTAAATTATAGTTAGTGACAATTAGCTGTCAGTTGTTCTCTCTCTAGTCCCTCACTTCTCTGTCTTGTACAATAATTAACACTTCTCCTTTCTATCAGTTCTCACCATTTTGGGTGGAAGGAAACCAGGCAGAAGTTACAGAGTGAGCTACCAGGACTGACAAACAACTCATAGAATCACAGAATAGGTGAGGCTGAAAAGGACCTCTGGGGAGCATCTAGTCCAACCACACATCAAGTAAAAGAAAATGCGGGACAAGACCAAGATTACACAAAGAGTCAATGGAGAGAGTAGGAGCAGGACCCCTCAGGAAAGAGGAAGACAATCTTAACAGCTGCACAGCTTCTGCATACATAGCTTGCATGTATTGTGTATATATTAAAAATAATCACAGCAATGCCCATACTGTACCCTTAAACTCCTCTGCTTTAACGTTTTTGTTATCTGTTTCGATGGAAATTCCAGACACTTTATGATCTGCAGGGGGACAGAAAAAAAAAAGACAGTTCAGCAATAAACACTTGTAATTTCATATGTGCTTCAGCAGCTACAAGCAATGTTTTCGAAACCTCCTTACACTGGGCAGATTAGATATTGTCTACTAGAGAGAGCATGGGACTAAGAGCTAGACCAGGGCTGGCTATGTGGGTGGCCTTGAACAATTCATCTTTTCCTCTCTGTGCCCTGGCACCTGTAAAAAATAGTAATATTTCTCTTTTACAATAGCATGATAATATTTACATGTGAGAAATTCTATATAAACAGTAGGCATTGTTTTATATTGGGGTAATGTCTCAGTCTGTTTCTAACTGGGGAGACTTGTATTAATCCATAAGTGTATTTTCCATTGTACTCCTATTACAAGGCAGGCACGTTTACTGAAGAATACCATGTACAGCTTCTACAGGGTAAAAAAAATGTGTGCAGTAATTGGCAGTTACCTCAAATTCTTGTTGAAATGAGAAGGAAAACATTAGTCAACATTTCTATAGTTTTATATCAAAGAGAGAAAAAAACCTGTATATTCTTGAATATCTCTTGTATCAGGAATACTGAAATTCCAGAGAGAAGTGAAATAATCACTAGCCCTACATCATCAACCCCCACCCAGCTACCTCCTCCCCCACTGCACCTCACTATACATCCTCTCTTAAGAACTGCTCTCCTCCCAGGAAAGGACTCTACCGTGTTCCCTCATGATTCAGAAGCGTTCCTGCAAGGCCCAAGAGTCAGTCACAGTTATTCCGATTACTCCATGGCAGGCTACAAGTCTACCAAGTGCTTAAAAACAGATAAATGCAGTTAATTTAAATCTGTGTAAAGAACTTTTTTTTCCCCTCCAAAGCATCTCAAGTTCCCATGGATTTAGGACCAGTTTTGAAAACAGCATGGACACTCCTAATGCAGTCTGTTTCCTCCATCCACATCAGCCAACTGAACAATTGCTACAGATTGCTATGAACAAGAACTAAGCCTCTCTCCCCATCAACAATATTTAGAAACATGGCTTCAGAGCATAATGTTCTTTTGACTAATAGAAACTAGTCTTGCTTTACTCCTTTTAGTCTAATCTTGCTATTTACTTCTCTCATGCACACAGACCTCCTTTGTTCATCCCCAAAGAATTAATTTCCCTTTCCCCTGCCTAACGGGGGAAGAGTTGCACACAACCTAGCAGATGGATATCCAGTCTTGATCTGAAGACATAAACAGATCAAGAATCTTTTGCTTCTTATTGTTTTCTTTTGACAGTTGATTACTTCTGTTGAAACGTGTGCCTCATTTCTCACTTGAGTGAGTCCATTTGGGCTTTCGGTTATGGGTTCTCACAGCTCTGAGTTAGCATGCCATTTTCATTGTATGAAGCTACCATCATAGAATAGTTTGGGTTGGAAGGGACCTCTAAAGGTCATCTACTCCAACCCCCCTGCAATAAGCAGGGACATCTTCAACTAGATCAGGTTGCTCAGAGCCCATCCAGCCTGACCTTGAATGTTTCCAGGGATGGGGCATCTACCACCTCTCTGGGCAACCTGTTCCAGTGTTTCATCACCCTCAGCATAAAAAAGTTCTTCCTTATATCTAGTCCGAATCTACCCTCTTTTAGTTTAAAACCATTGCCCCTTGTCCTATCACTACAGGCCCTACTAAAAAGTTTGTCCTGATCTTTCTTATAAGCCCCCTTTAAGTACTGATAGGCTGCAATAAGGTCTCCCCGAAGCCGCCTCTTCTCCAGGCTAAACAACCCCAACTCTCTCAGCCTTCCTTCATAGGAGAGGTGTTCCATCCCCCTGATCATTTTTGTGGCCCTCCTCTGGACCCGCTCCAACAGGTC